TTGAACCCAAGTCTGCATTTTTAATCATTATTATGGAAAATAGAATTTTAAAGAATCATATCTTAAAAACGAATTAAGATATAACGATGAAATAAGAAGCATTTTAAAGTATATTTAATAAAGATTAAGTGTGCCATAAATAATTTCTTGTTTTCCATAAACGTGGTTGTTATGATTTTTTGAACCCAAGTCTGCATTTTTAATCATTAATTTGGAAAATAGAATTTTAAAGAATCATATCTTAAAAACGAATTGAGATATAACGATGAAATAAGAAGCTATTTAAAGCAAATTTGATTAAGATTTAATGTGCCATAAATAATTTCAAATAATTCAAATAAAAATATTTTAAAGCAAGTTAATTAAATAATTTCTTATTTTCGTATTTGTTGTGAAGGGGTTAAAGATAAAGTTTGATCCGACTCTGATTATACTTCTCATAATTATTTAATATAACAATTTAAAACATTTTCTTTTTCGGACAATTTCAACATTTAAAGGCGAAGATTGCACCGGTAAGAAAAATGATATTAATTATTTTCGATGTAACACTAAATTAAAAATTATTTCTATTTTTTTATGTCAGCTACAATTGTATCAGTAGATTATGACGATGACTCACAAGAAATAATCGTTTCGTTGATTCCCCCAACATCGGATTGCACAACGGCTTTAAATTTTAAACTTAAAGTGAGATGTTCCATTCAAGGTAAAATAGTTGAGGGCGAAGTATTTGCTGATAATACAGTGGGAATCGTAAGATTATCTTCACAGTTATCTTGTGCAGATGCTAAAATATCTATTGTATCTTACCAAGAGATTTGGTATGACGCAATTCTTGGTGAATCAGATAGTGTTGATTTATTGCAATGTGAAAAATGTAAACGTAAGAAGATTTAATATGATTCTTAAATCATTAATTAATTATATTGTTTATATTTTAGCCAAGATTGCAGGTGTTACACCTGACATAGATTCAATTGTATATGTTTCGATAATCCCTCCATCATCAGATTGCCCCGCAACACGATTTAGTCTTGAAATGGAAGGTGATTGCAATATAATTTTTAACAACACAGTGGGAATTTGTGTCTTAGATGACAGAGTACTTGATACAGATGTCCTCACCGCATACATCAATGTTTATAACGAAGACACGCTTATAGGGCAGTCAGATTACGTCGATTTCAATTTATGTAAGACTTAGCACCCATAATTACAACCAAAACAACTAATTGAGTTATTTTTTTTCTTTCAATTTTAATCCATAGGCAAGGAAAACTGCAAAGGTAAAAAATCAAAATATATTTATAAACAAATAACTTATTGTGTTTTCAGCGAAAATTGTGGGTGCACGATATGATGGCGTCTCAAGAATATACGCTAAAATAACTATTCCAGAAGAAGAGAAATGCAAAAACGCTGCAGTATTCAACTTAAAATATACTATTGATGGCGAAACAAATTATGTGGATATAATTGATATAAACACGGGAATGATTCAACTTGCAAAGCCTATAACTAACGAAGATATTAAATTATCCGTGGTAACTTACGATGAGGACGGTATTGTACTTGCGGAATCGGATGTGATTAGTTCGCAAATACGACAATGTTTAAATTAATAAAATGTGATCTAAATTTGATGTAAATTTAATTTAGTAAAGTTAGTAATAAATACTTGCATCACAAAAATATTTTCGGTAGGAGGTGTTAACACCTCCTTCCAAACTTGCCTATCTCGATTACTAGATTTCTGTCATCTCTAAATGTAAGGAGAGGTTGGGACATAACTAGCTTCTTTATTGATATTAATAAATGATTTTTATAAGAAATTAAAGTTCTTGAAAATGACGTAACTTATTATGAGTTAAATAAGAAAATAGTTGAGTAAATGAATTAATATAAATTATGTTAGGACAAGTTAGGACATTAAAACTCTCAAACTTTAAACTATTGTATCTAGTTCATCATCATCGTGCTTCGCTTTATAACTCGTTGTGAATCTTGGCCTGTCTTAACAGATATGGCCTATTGTTGATTTCTTCTTTCGGAAGGCGTTCCATTATGTGTTGTCCAATTGTGTCTAATTTAGTACTGGTATGGCTTTAATTGCAGGATATTAGACAACACATATTAGGCCGCAAGCAATCTCGGTCAAAATCAAGAGAGAGGATGTTATTGATTAAGAAGCCGAGGTCGCTCGCATGTAGCTCCATACCGATACTAGATGCGTAACATCTGGAGGAAGCATAACATATTGTAGAACCTCGGCCGCAAGTGACCTCGGCATAATAAACACATATTATTTGCTCTCATTCGAGCCAAGAAACTAAATCACATGTTAACTAATTTTATATTTATTCTAATGTGTCTTATACTGGGTCATAAACTATAAACTTCAAAGTTGTCCTATGATAATATACACTCAGTTCCAAAAAAAGTGACGCACTTGATTTTTGTCCTAGTTTTAATATCTTATATTTTTTAAACCAGTGGGCCGATTTTAATTATTTTTTTATTTCTTGGTAGCCAATTCCTTTGTCTTTCAAAAAAAAATTAAAAAGGCGGAAATTTTTTCAATGTTCCTGGATGGTAGTGGAAAAACTGGAACCATGTTTTTTTCCTAATTTTTGTCTCACCCTGTGTATTAATCAAGTAATGGTATAGAAAGTGCTTACACCCTATATGAAAGACGTTTCTTCTATGAGCATTTTGTTTTTTTATTCATTAATTTATCTCTAAAATTGTCCGAATTGAAGCTTTTTTGTTGAAACCTTACGTTTATCCCACAGATTTAAGAAGTATGATCACATTGTCAAATAATTGACGTTGCCATAGCAATTAATTTGTCGTTGTGTCATTAATTAACTACAAAAAAGCTTTGTAGTGATTAAAATTACATGAAATACCTCAAATAAATCCAGAACAAGTAGCAAGATTAGTTGCTTTAGTAATCGATGGGCGTGGTAAACGTTACGCCGCTCGTGCAGTGGGAGTCCATGAAGCAACTGCTCGTAGAGCAATCCGCAAGTACGAACAAACATGAAGCACTGCTCGGAAGATGGGTTCTGGTCGCCCTAAAAAAACGTCTCCAAGAGATGATCGTTTCTTGAGATTGCGGATTTTACGGAATCGATCAAACACTGCGGTAAATGTTCAGCAAGATCTTCGCCAAATTCGTGGTGTTGCAATAAGTAAGCAGACGGTATGTAGACGTCTTAAAGAAGTTAATTTAAAAGCTAGGAGACCTGCAAAAGGTCCTAAATTATTGCCCGAACATGGTGCTGCTAGAAGAAGTTTTGTTCAAAATTATGGAGAATGGAATATTCCTGAATGGTCGAATGTCTTGTTTACGGACGAGTTTAGGTTTTGCCTTAACATGGTGGATGGAAGAAAAAGAGTGTGGAGAAGGACTGGTGAAAGGTTTAATCAGAACTTAATAACAGAACGCGAAAGTTTTAATGGTGGGTTGGTTATGGTGTGGGGCGGGATGTCAATGAATGGAAAGACACCCCTTCATGTTTTTCCGGTGAGGCGGTCGATGACGGAACAAATTTACATTGACATTATACAACAGTATATCTTACCTCATGCAGAGTTAGTAGCCAATAATTTTATATTGATGCAGGATAATGCCCGACCACACACCGCAGTAATAGTGCGAAACTTCTTAGAAGCTACGGGTATCACCACATTACAATGGCCTGCGAGAAGCCCCGATATGAACCCTATCGAACATTTGTGGGATAAATTAGGGAGAAGAGTACGTTCTCGCGAAAGGCCTCAGGAATGCCTCACAGAAATAGCAGATGCGTTAGTGGAAGAATGGGATCGTATACCAATGGAAACGATAAGAAACCTGATTTCCAGTATGCCGCTTAGATTAGAAACTCTTAGAGTTGCTAGGGGAGGCAATACACGGTATTAAGCAGTTATCCCAGTTTATAATTTAGTGTTTAATAAAACTTTTTTAAAAATTCGTATCAGTTTATTTCACTAGAAAACTTTTCCATAAATTCAGAAAGTTGGCAATATGCAAGGTTTCAACAAAAAAGCTTCAATTCGGACAATTTTAGAGATAAATTAATGAATAAAAAAACAAAATTCTCATAAAAGAAACGTCTTTCATATAGGGTGTAAGCACTTTTTATACCATTACTTGATTAATACATAAGGTAAGTCAAAAATTAGGAAAAAAACATGGTTCCAGTTTTTCCACTACCATCCAGGAGTCATTGAAAAAATTTCCACCTTTTTAATTTTTTTTAAGACAAAGGAATTGGCTACCAAAAAATAAAAAAATAATAAAAATCGGCCCACTGGTTTAAAAAATATAAGGTATTAAAATTAGGTCAAAAATCAAGTGCGTCACTTTTTTTGGAACTGAGTGTATGTTATTATACTGTGCAACAATAACAAATTCCGCTCCAATTTGTACAAAACTAACGTAATTTTATTTTCATTGAATTGTTTTTTTTTTGTAGTATCAGCCCATCATCAACGAACGCACCTAATATTATTGTCCCATCATTGTTCTTTAACATACATTGTTCAGATTTTAACTGTTGTTCTTTAAAAATCCATTTGCTCGATAATATTGTCTGGTCATGTCTTACTTCATTTTTATCTACTAATTCTCACACATCGTTTTCTTTTAAGTATCGCTTTTCCTCTTTTATTGCATTTTTCCACTCGTTATTTTCGTCTTTTAAAGCTTCTTCATAGGTTAACAAAACAAAATGTTTGAATTTTTCCGGTATTCTTCTTATTCTTGCACTTGTTCTGTTTTTTCCTTCTTCGCTTTCTGGCCATTCACTTCTTCTTTATTCACTTCTTCTCCACTAATTTCTTTTCCATTAACTTCTTCCCCATTTACTTCTTCTCCTTGTTCCTCAGTCGAATCTTCTTTTATGTACCCGTGTTCTTTCTTTTCTTGATTTTCAATACTTTTATTTTGAACGTCTGGTTTGAAAATGATGTCTCTAGCAACTTTGATTCGTTTCGTTTCTTTACGACCTTCACAAAAAAAAATTCTGAATCTTCACAATCGATGTTGTGGCGCTTTAACAAATCTCCCGTGTATATCTTTGATTGGTTTGCTTTATGCCAACCTTGTAAGGTATCTACAGTCACTCCTACATTTGCTCTATATCCAAAATCTACATGTTCAAATTTCATTCGATACAATTTTCCATCTCTTAATGCTTTCGCAACAACTATGTTATCTTTAGTAAGTTTACGTATTCTTTCATCTGATCTCATTTTATATCCTTTCGACAGTGCAATTCCCAAAGAAAATAGATTTACCTTCAAACCTGGTACATACAAAACATTTTTCAAATCTACCATTTCCCAATTTTTTCCATTGAATGCCTTTAACCGAATTCTTCCTATTGCTGTAGCATCTAAGAATTTTTTCCAATTTTTATTTTCTTTGCTGGTTTCAATGTTTCCATTTATACAAATTGTTCTCCCTGAAAAGTCATGTGATCGCTTACATTGTCCAATATCTAATCTGTTTTATTTTACTTTATCGTTTTTATAAGGTTTCTCATAATGTTTGTTGTTTCTTTGATCTTTAAACCAGCAATTTTTTGCAATGTGACCTTGTTTTTTACAAATATGACATATTCTATCCTCTCTTTCCTTTTTTCAATTTTGTTTAATATGTCCAAATTTTCCGCATTGAAAGCATTTTATTATTTTCTTTTCTTCCTGACAAAAAAGCAGTTTCTGTTTGTTCATTTGTTTTTATTCTTTGCTCCTCAATCAACAACCGTGATGTTAATTCACATATTGCTTGATTGTTCGAAGAAACTGACTCCCATGCAGACACAATATGTTTGTACGGTTCTTGCAACGACATGATTACCTTTGTCATTAACATTTGGTCGGAAATTGGTTCTCCTATCTGTTTTAATTGGCAAGGAATTTCCTCCAACTTCGCTAGAAAAACTGTCATGCTTCCTCCTCCATATTTAGCGTTAAAAATTCAGTTTTATGATCGTAAACTGAGAGTAATTTTTCCCACATTTCATGTGCATTTCCACAGCTTAAGATGTCTGTCATTGGAGCTTCCTCCATTCTTTCCACTAGTATTCGTTGTGCTTTTACGTCTATGATTCTCAATTTTTTTAAATTTTCTTCGTATTTCTCTGTACCTTCAATCGGCTTCCTTTCTGCACCTGTTACTACATCAAAAACATCCTTCGTTTTTAACTGAATTGTTGTTTGGAACTTCCACAAACTCCAATTATCTTTATTTTTCAATTTTATATGACAGGTATTTCCCTCCAATTTACTTAATCGTTTTCTCTTCAATTTTATCCTTTTTTTTGTTCTTATTTCTCTACCGTACACCTCTGGTTATTTCTTTAGCGACTCTGGCCCATAACCTATTATGGTTTCTATTTACGTAGTAGTAAATTTACACACGGCTTGGTAGGAAGATCTGGTAAGATCTAATCATGCACCAGTCACTCGTATTAACAACGTGGGGAACATACGTTTAATTCTGGATACTGTCACTTATAGCGTTGCTTTCGATTACAGAACCCATTTTAGCCATTTTTTGAGTTGTCAGTTTGACTGGTTTGACCAGGTTTGACATAGTAATATTTTTGATTGCATGATTGTATTGTGTATAGAGGAAGAGTTGCTAGCGATTTGAAGAAAGA